TATATATATATATATAATATACATTACATTTATATATATATATATATATATATAATACAATTATATATATATATATAAATACATTATATATATATATATATATATATATATATATATATATATATATGTAATATATATATATATATATATATATATATATATATATATATAGTATATATATATATATATATACACATATATACATACATAATACATACTACATACATATATATATATATATATAGTATATATATATATAATATATATATAATTATATATGTTTATATATATATAATAGTATATATATATATATATATATATATATATATATATATATATATAATGTTATTTACATATGTATATATACGTGTATGTGTGTGTGCGTGTCTACACACTGTATGCAAAAGCTTATATAGAATATACATATAAACAAATACAGACATCACGACACAAGACACATTAACACATAAGGGGCATTAAATATATCTTTCAAAGAGAAATACAAACATGAAATTCATTGTTTTATTGAGTTAAATTGTAATACTTCACAGAGTACATACTTAAAAATGTGAGAAAATAATTAAGAAAGATAAATGACTAGAAAAACAAGATTAGAAATAATATTTCTATTTACATCTGCAAATATATTTCAATATATGATAATAACATCTATTTGAAGTTATGACTAGAAAATGTTATTCATACTCCCTGATGAGTAATGTCATTCAGAATAGTGAATTGCACTTCATAATTCTATTAACAGTATTTTTGAGCTCCTCTACTTCTAATATATCTCTGTAAGAAAAAGTCACCCGACTGTTACTTCACTGTTTCCGACAGCATGGCATCCCTATGAGACGGCATAATTTTGTCCACTGTAGTATGGCATTACAAAACTACTTCATCCTCTGTGAAGAAATGAGGCAATATCCTCAGTGTGGCACCACCAGACCGCAATCATTGACAGCCATGCGTCCTATGTCTGGCAGATTAACGGCTGACTTGAGAGTTTCAAGCCCACTCTCCACCTGGCCAAAAACTGTCAGAAGGGCTGCCCCAGGCCGGGATCTGGTGGTGATGTAGAACTGGCCACCACGGCACTCATCACCCCACCGGCCCCAGACGGCTCCTGCATTGTCGGACCGCATGTACTCCCCCCCACGAGTTAATCCCACAATGATGGCAGCCCCACCAGTCCCATCGTTGTTGTCGTAATCTCCTCCCCTCACACATTCGCCTGGTTTGCCCTTGTTCACGACCTTCAGAAGTCTGGTACTGGCGTAGGACGGCCCTTCCTCGCCCGTGCACAACAGGCGGAACTGTTTTCCACGAAGGGTGTCAGGGCTCAGCCGAATGTAGAGCCGTCTCAGGGTAGACCCTGGCCATGACATCTCCAGGAAGACCAAAGTGGAAGCACTGTCCACATGATTCAACAGTTCATTGTACTGTAATAAAACACATAATACATGCAGTTCATTATGTATATTTAATATATGTTGGCATTTTCAATGTTCATCTGAATATCAATAAGATAACCATATGCTAATCTAAAAACTTATTACAAGGAAGACTTCAAATGGACTGAGAACTCAACTCACAGGAACAATGTGGGTATTGGTGGGAGGGGGGTTGTCCTGCAGGTGGTGAAGGCAGAGTGTGTCATTGTGCAAAGACACCCTGGCATAGCGTGGGTGTCCAAGGCTGTGCTGAACGGCAACCACCTGCCCACATTCCACCAAATGCCGCACAGGCATAGCTAGTTCACGGAGGCTCTCTACCTGTAAGTATGGAGCAGGTGGTTTTCACATCATATGTTATTTATACATAGTATTACATTCTAAAATACATACAGCACAATGAGGTATTGTGTGGAAAAATATCTCCGTATTTTGTGTTCAAGAAAAACTTCTGACTTTCATATAAACAATAAACATGTATAACTGCCATGATCCTGTATATGCTGACAAGGACACATATAACCAAAAGGCCTAAAAAGTAAAAAGAAAACAAACGAACAAATATTGCCATTTGGTTTTCTCTACAAGAATATCAGTCCATTTTAAAACAATATTTCATCATAAGAAATAAAGTCATGAAGATCAAGTGACATTTTTTATACTTTAAGACTAACAATAATTATTACAACAGTACTTTAACTTATCTCTTATATTTCCTTTTCTTGTTAACAGAATAGTTAAGGCCATGCCACATCAAACTTACTGTCAAAGGTTCCATTCCAACAAGGTTGTGAAACCTGTGGAGTATGCTTGGCAAGGGCTCGGCAGCACTCTCTGCCTCTCCTGTGGAAGTGATAGCCGGAGGACCTCCAAAATGGATGGATACAGCGCCTCCTTCATCAGAAACGATAACTGGTGAGCTCATATCTTCTCCAGTCTCTTGTGTGATCATCTTCAGGGCCTTCTTGGTGGATGTTCGAACCTGAAATCCCCTCCACAGTATGAAAAGTCAATGTTCAGGATTCTTTCCCGATTTCATATCTTCATTCACAGTGCCATCTCAGGAGAGATTTATCTGCATCTGAACAATGAGACAGAAAATGGATCCCTACCTTGACAGACCTATAAACAGCAGTGACATTTGGGAAGACCTCCTGGCACTTCTTGGCCCAGTCCTCTGCTGCTACACGACAACACTCACCATCGTCTATGGCAGCTACCACCTCCTGTGGCGTTCTGGCTGCTGCTAAGGCCTCTTCTGCCAACAATAACATCTGCTTCTTATCTTCTCCTTCCCCAAGACACACAGAGGCACAATCTTCTTCTTTTTTCAAAAGCTGCTGGATGTTCCTGTTAGCCTCTGCCAATGCAGTGAGCTCTAGAACGAGGTCCTGGTGTTCTACCACCCATTCGCCTAAGCTACTCTTGTACTTTTTGAGCTGAAGCAGCATCTCCTTACAGCTGGATATACTACTCTTCAAAAGAGCTTCTTGCTCCTCTTGAATCAGGATGATCTTTCTCTCCTCTTGACGGGACCTGCCGCCGAGGGTTGACATCCTCATCTTGTTTATCAGTTCTTCTAGCTCATAAGCAAATGGGAAGTTTGTGACATCCGAACAGGTGTGTCTGGCTCGACAATTTGGGCAAGTGAGCATTCCTTGCCTTATGAGGTCTTCAATACAAGAGGAGCAGAAGCTGTGGCCACACGGCAGATTGCGAGGTCTTTTCTCGCAGTCATTATAGGCGTCTAGACATACTTTGCACTCCTTTAAGAGAATATTTGTATTTAATACAAATAAAAGTCTTTGTTCATTTTAAAAATTGGAGATATTTACATTCAATATACATAAAAACTCCTAATTGACTGAAAAATTTAGAATACAAATCATATTATTGTAAAATAAAAAGATTCTTGTGATAAATGCAAAGGATTAGATTTTCATGATAGCATTCATCTATTTAGAATATATTCAGAAATACGTGTGTGTGAGTGTGTGTGTGTGTGTGTGTGTGCTGTGTGTGTGTGTGTGTGCGTGTGTGCGTGTGTGTGTGTGTGTGTGTGTGTGTGTGTGTGTGTGTGTGTGTGTGTGTGTGTGTGTGGTGTGTGTGTGTGTGTGTGTGTGTGTGTGGTGTGTGTGTGTGTGTGTGCATGTACCTCTGTATGTTTGTCTGTGTAAAACAATAATAATGAAAGTAATAATAACAAAAATAATAACAATAATAATAATGATATAATACTAATAATAACAAAATAATGATAATAAATAAATAAAGAAAGAAATAAAAGTAATGTTAATAATCAACATTTTCATAAGAAAGAAATGATTTTAAGAATTCTCTTTCTCACAATATAATAAAAATATGGCAAAATTGCATTTCTCATTTGTCTAAAACACATAAAAAGTGTCTTGAAAGGCATCTGTGTTTAAAGTTATCATAATCTTTGGAAATAACATTATTCATTTTGTTATTAATAAATCAAAATGGGGTTTACAGCACCAACAATCATTACTAATAGTATATACTGACAAGTACACATATAAAACTGAGTATATTAAAACTAGTTAAAGGACCTGTTACTTATAAAATTAACAGTCATATAAAATTCCTCATTTTCAATTTCTTAGGAAATAATGTTTTAATAAAGTACAATGACAGAGTGAAGAAATAAGACATTGTCAGAAGTAAGACCCCAAGGTTTAATTATTCTAAAAATGCCTCGGCAAAAAAAAAAAAAAAAAAAAAAAAAAAAAAAATAAATAAATAAGAAATACAAGTGAAATTATACCCTCCATGAAATATCATTATATATATTTAAATTCAAGCACCTTAGAAATATTTTCCATCTTGTGATATCTTTATACATACATCTACGTCTCTTTCTTACTTTCTTTAATTTCTTTAATATAGCTATCTATTTTTGGTAAGGGTGTCTGGCAGATAATACTTGATGAAGACATTATTTTTCCTAAATCTTCTTTAGATAAAATTCCAAAACATCTAAACCTCAACTCCTTTCTTACCATGCTTTCTCCAAAATCTTTGAGGATTTTCCTTAGAACTGCATCAACTGACGCGTCGTTCAGCTCAGTTGGTGCCTAAGCCTCGCCACTCGCTACCATCCCCTGTTGGCTGCTCTGAAATGTTGGTTTACACTTCTTACTGATGTCTTTGATGTCAAAAGAGTTGTTAAATATAAAGGTCTTTATAAAATGACAACATATTCTACCATAGTGATAAAGTAGGTCTATGGTATTTCTTGTTTAAAGTGGAATTTTTATGTACTCTTTATATATAACATTAAAATATCTGATATTTGGAATCAATGTTAGGGAATTTGTATCCTAAAGTTAACAAATACTGGTTTCTTGTAACGTAATGCAACCTACATTTAGTTGTTATCCTAATATCAAATAATTTCTTAATTTTCAATATATCAAAGAAAGTTATTATTCAGTGACTTTAAGCAATGTATCACTTACCAATATGTAATTTTTTTCTACTAACCAAAAATTTGTTGAAATTAAAAGATGCTATATAACTATCTTAACCTTGTTCTTGATGAAATATCTATTTATAGAATTGTTTCCAAGAGCAGCTCTCCCTCTGCAAGTGGCCTCCATGCCTGTCGGTGGTCCTGAAAAGGCCAACAAAACTCAATTTCACATAGAACTTACTGCCCTCCCTTTCGACACTGCAATATATCAACCAGTTATGGAAACAATGCAATCTCAATCTTGTCTGAATATAGACATAGTGAAGGTAAAAATCATTTAAGAAGTTTGTTAGCATTTCCCAAAGTGCAAAGCATGGAGGCCAGAATTCCTTGACCTTATGTCACCACAGCCAGTTATTATGAGAAAATACCTTTGATTGCAAATGATCTTCTAAACATTTCCCTAAATTTTGTGTTTCTTGTTGAGATAGATTTGAAAGCTTGCGTTTCTAAAACCAATTAAGGATCTCGAGTCTAATGTAAAGCCATTCACTATCTATAATTTGGATCAAACTCAAGATCTTTCATCAAAAGATTATACCTGTCAAAATAATGAATAGTCACAGCTTGTTAAAATAATCTTCTTCCCCAAAACAAGTTCCAACTCACATCTAAAACTCAGATTAATTAAACAAATAATGACAAAACATGAATAGAACACATCATCCCCACAAACACAAGAACAGTAACGAATAACTGAATGTTTATGTCTCACACTTTTGTTCTCTTTTACGCGAATTTCAGCTTTCCGTCTTTACAGATTATGTAAGCGTTTAGAATGCACGCAATCCCTGCCACACCCACCACGAGGCCGTCAGCTGATCCCGTAAACAACGCCAGATCAGCTGATCCGACAAACAAATGATTATCAGCTGGTTCGATGAAGAATGATACATCAGCTGATTCGATATGCAATGAGGGTCAGCTGATTGAATTAACACCGGCTAGTCAGCGTTAATTCAGTGCTCTAAACAACGGCTGATCAGCTGATCCGGTAAACATAAAATAATTTAAGGACTAATTTTGTGTTTATTATTTATATTATAACGCACAGTTTCCCTTGTACCTTTCATGTCCTTCCTGGGCCAAGAATGTTCCCACGCATTAATTTGGATAATAGCGAATGGGAGGAATCCATCGATACCAAATTCGTCGCGATTACCAGCCTCTTCTCTGGAAAATTATTCTGGTAAATAATAATTACAGCTCAGTTTGATAGACTGACAGATCAGCTGATTGGATATCAACTGATTCTTCAAAGGCAGTTCAACTGATTGGATAAACGGTGATCAGCTGATTCCGTAAACAACAGATCAGTCATACTTTTTCATAGCTTTCAATTAAAAGGAGTGGATACGCCTGTAGTTTAATCTCAAGTTTCATCTGACCCTCAAGTTGGCCCTCTACTAGCTTGGCTTTGGGTGAAATATGGCAATGGGAATGGTGGCCCTATCAGACGACAACAGGATGTTATGCTGCATTTATTTCCGGGCTCTCTTCACTTCCTCCGTGCCATGTCGTCTCTGGGAGAGCCTGTCCTTCAAGCATATCCTTCACCTCCCTGTGTTGCTTCCTTCACTTGACCCTCCCAACCTGACCGTCGCCTCTAAAGTATTAGAAAAGTTAACTAGCGCTAGAGAATGAGGTCCTCCATTCGAGAGCTACCTGTGGTCTTGCTCACCTTGTCATGGAACCTGCTCTTCCAGGAATGACAGTCTTCATCTTCTCAGGCAGCGTGGTGTTTCAATGAACCAGCTTGCATGGCCTTGTTGCTTCCCTCCGATGGACTTTCGAAGCTCTGCTCCACCTGGCGAGACCCAGGGCACTTCCACAGGTGAACCTCTGCCACCTCTCGCACGCGGTCTTTTACACAGGTGGAGATAACATTGGTCCAAATGCCTTCACATTTGACTGAAACTGGCGAGAGAGCATTTACTTGGTTCCTTTCTCCCTGAAACTATTGTGGTTAGTTTCGTGGCTGAAGTCCTGGAACTGGCCTCCTGTTGATGAATTCGCTTGTTTTAGTGATGCTCTCACCCTCAAAATGGAACAGAGCTGCAGGGGGCTCGTTCCCCCTCACTGTGAGATCCTTACAACTTCATACGCGGAAATATTGCATTCATTAACAGGTGCCTCCCTTCTAGTGTCTGTGGTGAATGACATCATTAATAGCCACTGCAACTCCATGCGGTGGCGGAAATAGGCATTGTGATCTACTTTCATGGGGTTCTCAAGGACCTCTAGAGCAGTGTTGTCCAAACTGGGGTGCGCGTACCCCTGGGGGTCCGCAATATAGATCATAAGGGTACGTGAACAAACAAGGAACATCCGCGCCTCACATCCCACATTAAGGCTCTGCTGCTGCTGAGTCAGAGAATTGAACACGTGAACTGATGGATCTCCTTTGTTTACTCTTGATTACAAGTGTGTTCGCGAAAGCTCGTTTGTGATTTATGTCTGTTATGAAAGTATTTTTTCAAGGGGGGGGGGGGTAAGTAACAGTACAAGAGGGTAATAAAGGGTACAATAGGCGAAAATGTTTGCACA